TAATGGCTGTATTGTTGAGGTCCGAGAGGTTGAGTTCATCACAGTCAGGGTCAATCTTGATGCAAGAGTCTCTCAGTAGGTGGGTCTAGCACACAGGGATCAACACAGGTGTATGTTTTGTCACTCAGTTAGCTTACAGAAGTAAATATTATAGGGCAATAAAGTTGCAGTCTTGTTCAGGTGTAGAAACTCATGTCACTATGGCAACAGCAACAGCCAGTCACAGCTTTCATAAAGTTGATCTTAATCACTCCTTATTTCTGAGACGTACAAAGGTAAACAATAAGTATGCATCCATGTATTTATTCATTGCCTAATAATGTCAGTCAGATGAATAGTGTGATATTTTGTAGAATAGGCTCTTTTGCTTTCTTGCCGAGAGTTGGATGAGAATATGGATACCACTCTCATATCTGTACGATGAAGATACAGCGGACAATTAGCTTAAAATTTGATCAAATATTAGACTGGACACGGGAAAACAGCTAGCCTGGCTGTGTGAAAACAACAGAGCCATGTTAGAGCCAGTTTTATGCTAAGCTAAGCTAGCTGCTAAAATAGTTGTAGCTTCACATTTGTCGTACAGGGGTGAGAGAGTAACACTAACATATTTCCCAAAATGTCAGACTGTTCCTGTGTTTGTGAACATTAGTTTTATATTTTGCTCTGCGTTGTGGTGTTTGCACACAAAAAAAATCCCAAGGCTAAGTTTCATGAGATGATTTGCAATTTGAACCACGCTTGTTCATGAGGCCATTGCCATGGGAACCAAAACAAAGTACTAGATATCCCCCTGTTCCTCTTGCATTAAAGAGGGCTTTTTCTTCTTCGCTTTGTTTTCCTGCAGGTGCCTACCCTCGACTGTCTCTGAGCTTCAAGCTGAAACGAAACATCGGATACTTCATCCTGCAGACATACATGCCCTCCATCCTCATCACCATCCTATCCTGGGTGTCGTTCTGGATAAATTATGATGCCTCGGCTGCCAGAGTTGCATTAGGTATGATATGTCCTGTGCAGTAGACTGAACTCAGCTCTGTAGTTTTACCTTCAGTCAGATGTCTTTTGTGTTTCATAGTTTGGGCCTGTAGGCGTGTAAACAGTGGCCGCCTCTGTCCCAAAGCTAGAAACAGACAGAAGACTCTGTGGGATCATCAAAGTAGAGACCCTGCCGTTCCACAGAGAATGAATTTGGAATTTGTGGTAAATGTGTCTGTAGGTGGATTTTATGGGAATCAAACACTCAGGTTATAAAAGGAAAAAAAAAACGTATCCTTAAAAAAAAATAATCAAACACATTTAGCATTATACATCAGAGCAACTTTGCACCAAATTTGCACCAAATGTCTGAGGCACAAAGCACTCAAGGTTCTGGAGAGGGTGTTTAAAGAACAAACAGAATCTGACATATTCTGTTGAAATCAAATAGTAAAAAGGCTTTTAGCTTTTATTCATCAAAACAGAGTAACCAGGATCTTTTAATTAGAGAAGTTTCAGTAAAATATTCCATCAGAAACACTTTCAGCTTCCTCTGTGATGTTATAACTGTTGAGCTCATGAGATGTAGTTTTAGATTTTGATGCTGGTGGTTAAAATTGTCGTAGTGTTATAGATCACTAGATTGTAATGTTACCAGCCTTTCAAAATGTCCCCCAGTTGAAACGGTTTTCTTCACACAAATTTAACATAATAAACACAAACACTAAACTGGTGAACATATTAAGGAAAAAAGGCTTCTTCTACAGGAATAAAATAAGTTTTCCTCTGCATTGCAGAAGGTCTTTGATTATGGTGACTGATGCAGGTGTGACATTGCATACACTTTTACATAAAAATACAATACAATATAAACACTGAAAGATTACTGTGATATAAGCACTGACTGACATCAACACCTTCCACATTTAATGTTTACGTTGTTGAGAACTAAGACTAATGTGTTTTCCTCTCAAAGGAGGATCATTTTTTTCTCCTCCACTCCACTTTTCTTCTTAGAATGTGATTTGCAAATCTCCCTTTTCACTTCCCTCTCTTTCCCCAACACTTACACCGGAAATTTGCCAACACATTACCATTGCTGTTCAGCATCTCACTCACAGAGGTAGTATTGAAAAGATTAAAAACAGGAGATACACAGAAAAGGCATGCAAGTGGGAGGTAATGAGGATGTTCTGAATGGATGGCTACACAGCATAAAATTTGACTGTGTTGTTATGTGAGGTACATTTATGATTGATGGTCTCTCTTCCCCCTCATAGATGCTGTACGGTAGATGAAGAGTTTGTTGGGAGATCATGTCAAGTTCATGTAATTTACCGCCCTGTGACCTGAGAGGATGATAGGTTGGATGTTGTTGGCCAGCAGAGGACATAAACAGTGGATCTGACCTTTCCAGTTCAGTTTGATTTATGCTTCTGAACCTGACTGCAAGTGATCCTTCCCTTTCCAATGTTATTGTGGAGTCTTAGCAAAATGAGGACAGTTTAATTTTATTATTATAAATATAATATACATTTTTAGACCTCAGAGCAGTAGTGTTTGGATTTAAAGCTGCACCAATAATTTTTTTTGCGGTGATAAAGCTCTGATAAACTCACTGTGCACTACTACACAAGCACTGAACAGTAGAAAGACACAGTTAGCAACTAGCTGGTAAAAATAGCTGAGTGTTAGGCAGCTAAATGTGTAAATAAGCAAGTTAGCCACAACAACAACAACAAAGTGATAATATGTTAATGCTGGGTTCACAGTTTATTTCATCTTATCCTTTGCAGACACGTCTAAAAAGGCAGAAGCAATGTTTTGAGAAACAAAATATGAACGTTATCACTAGCTAGATGTGTAATTAGTTACTGTCCTTGTGTCAGCTCAGCTCACCGTCATACAGTTGCATTTTAATTAAAGTGTCTGTGTCACACTTGTTTCTAGTTTTAGCTTTTTTAATATATATTACTCAAAAATGTTATGTAAACGGCACCACAACCCAGGTTTCATAACACTACTATCAAAAGCATTTCAAATTATACAGCCTAGGGTAGTGGACATCGAGGAAAAGATTGCAATGTGACAAGACAGTTTCATCAGCACTATCTGTGAATTCTTCCCACACTCTAGCCATATGTGAGAATAGTTAATGCCAGATTAAAAACATTTCATCATGGCTGTGTGTTCCTTTCAGTCTGTTCGAGGCTGCTGCTCTGTGGTGTAATAGGAGACTGAACTGGGTCTAAGACTCACACTTTCCACTGGCCTCTGGGACTGAAAGAAATACGAGGCTCAGTTCACCACTGGAAAACACCCTACCACCCCCAACTGCATTGATCGCTGCTAAAATATTTGCCCTAATGGAAATCCACATTCAGCATCTATGCTCACAAAGTACTGACTGTGTAAGGAGCGTGATATGCAGCATTCATTTGATTTCATTTGTGTAGGAATGTAGTACATTTTAAGAGGAACGCTGAGCAGCTAGATTTGGAAGCACCCCAGCAGGGTCAGACCAGTTCAGGGGACAGGGGACGTCTGCTGCAACGCCTCCTCATTGAGAAGACCATCATCTAAGACACTGTCAGATCGATGGCGTGAGAAAGCATTAACACTTACAGTACTGACTAAATTCAATCACTGTCTACATAGTGATTTACTATAGGTTTCCTTTCTCTCAGCCATTATGGTGGTATGAGTATCCTGAGAAAACTAAATTTGTAGGGATACCTATCAGACCTTATATATGAGCAGTGGATAATGACGTCTGAAGTGGGGCGTTAAGAGATCATACCGTGTATTTACTTGGAATTACACTTTTACTAAGTGGTAGTGGCACAACAATGTTTCCTTTCAAATACACTGGTAAAAAAAACAGCTGTCTCATTTCAAGTTGTCGCTGGCAGATTTTATTTTAAGTTGCTAATTAAGCTAATGTTAGCTCAGTTGGTTTGCTGAAAATATAGATTTTTCTAAAGGTTTCTAGCTTGCCATTATTTATTATTATCGGAGAATATACACCGATCAGCCATACCAATATGAGCAATATGTCAGTGGGTGGGATATAGGAAGCAAGTGAACATTTTGTCTTGTCCTCAAAGTTAATGTGTTAGCTGCTAGCTACACTCTGATAGCATCCTATGTCAGCTGCCGCACAGTGGGGAAAGACGATGTATATGCTAGCCTTGAATGGGACTTTTTTAACGTAACTTGTAGCACCACAAACCACTTAAGTTAGGCAATCTTCTTGTTCTTTTAAAGGTCCAGTGTGTAGGTTACAGTGGTATCCAGCAGTGTTTGGTATTACAACTGGTTCAACATGGTAGCGGAAGGCAACCTGTTGTGTCTGTAGATAAAAATGTCTCATTCAGGTGATTATACACAAACAAAAACATACCTATGAATATTATTTTTCATTTCTGCCAATAGAGCTGTTAGAAATGTTACACACTTGACCTTTAAGGAACCCTTACTACCAGTAAGCTAGTTAGCTGGACATGCTAAAGGATTTGAGCTTGCATTACAGCAGATAAACACTATCACACTATCCCACTCCTTGCACTTTTACACTTCAAGCTCTTCAATTGTCTAATACCACTCTTATATAGTCATATGCAAAATGCTTTAACAAGTTAAAATAGTCCAAATCTTCACAGATCTGCTGTGACTAGTTACTGTTGCTAAGGCTATGATTGGGAAATTGCTGTGGGAGGAGTAACAGTCAGTAACAGTCAGTAACAGTCAGCTACAAGATGTCACCTGTGATTATCACTGCGTAATTTGTACGGTACTGATGTAATGTCAGAGACAACAGTAAACTCGACAGTACTGCACTGAAAATATTTCAGGGATTTGTTGAGTAACCCTCTCTTCAGAGCTCTTGCTCTTCCCTTTGTTCTGCTGAAATCGATGCCATAAACCCACAGTGCTCTTAACACCCCCACACATACAGTACTGTACAGTGCAACATTTTTGTTTTAATTATATAAGCCTGAGTCGACAGAAATAGACACACTGTCCGGGTTGGTGAGCCATCCACAAGACACAAACACAGACACATTTATTGTCGATGGTGCACATTATAGAGAGAATTACTACCCCGCTGTTTGTTGTGTATTTGCTGAGTCTGTTCACTCATTGTATGCTACATGAGCTGTAAACCATATAGTGGAGCGTTTTCTGCTTATCCAAGCTAAGGAAATTTGCCAAGACGAGGCATACAGGAGCTTTGATCTGAACAATTTTGAAGGCTTTTTTTTCATCAGGTTTGATGAAAATGTTTGTACGAGATGAAAATGACTCATGGTAAGACCCTGAAAGGAGAGTACAGTGATCTCTCCTAATGAGCTAATAGCATGCTTATGAGTAAACCTTCATTTTAGCCCCTATGATGCTCCACCAATGGATTTTTAATTAAAGTTGTAATTAAAGAAACGTTTAAAGAGACTTGTTATTTTTCTCCACATGGAGTGTGGCATCACTGACTGTTTAGTGAATAATTTAAAGCCACTCCATAGCAGCTGATGTCCACTCTTCGATCAAAGTGACAAAGTATCAATAGACTCACCCATGATTCCTTGATTCAAAAAGTTTTCTCACTTCCTTGTTTGCTGCACATGTGTATTTCTCTCCCAGGCTCCGCCTCCCTCTCAGCCTATAGATTTTACATTAGGAAGATGAAAACAGTTGCAAATTGAAAAAATCTAAATACAAAGAACTAATAATTGTAATAACTTACCTTGTGTACAGTTTGAGGTGTCCTGTCAACAGTTTTACACATGTCAGGAGATTTGTTTTGTTTCAGGTAACCACTGGGATAAGTTAGCAGCAAGGTTGAGTGGTGGCAATGTATCTATGAGTAACAGCAACATACAGTAGAGTATTTATTAACATCACAAAGTACCCATAGCCTTTTTGTGCGACTGACTTCGTGCACAAAGGTGAAAGGAGTGTACTTCATCAATATTGGAGTAAGCCAGGCACCATAGCATGTTAAACCTTATTCTTTAATTTATTAGTTATGACTCACCCAAACAGGGGGCGAGAACGCAGTTCTCTGTGCACAACGACAGAATATCTGCCTGAAATAATAATTGTACAAGAATATTGAAAAGGCTGTTAGTAATGATCTAAAATGACATTTGATCACTTTTAATCAACAAAAGACACTGACTGCTTCCATTGACATGAGCAAGTTAGTAAAAACTACCAAGCTTCACTCCATTTGTTGTTAGAAAACTGTCTTTGGATAATTATCTTGTTGGTTACTGAAGTCAGCATCAGCACTGGGAACTTTTCTACAAACCTAAAGGAGGTCTTTAGCAGCTGATAAGGTTGAACACTGATCACCCAACATATCGTGGTTGTTCTTAGTTATGGAAGAGCAAGGTTAAGAACAATGTAACAGACAGAGTGTCTCCTTACATACTTATACAATGTGTGTGACTCATTCAACATGACTTAGGATAGCGTTGGTAGGCTTAGAGTTTGTTCTGAACCACCACCCAATTGGATCTTCACACATGTAGCTGTGTAAGTTATGACCATATCTGGGACACCAGTAGATCTCGTAGAGCTAGGTTTGTGTTAAAGATCCCCCAACAGGAGGTAATCTTCTGACTTGGGTTGGCCACTGCACTGTGTTACACATGTATTGCTGAGCTTGTTCTCCTCAACTGAGTGGTTCACGTTCTTCAATGTTTTTCCATCACAAGCATCTCTTATCATCTGTCTCTGGAGATCTGCATCTATATTTTTTGATGACCATGCAGCTTATATTTGATTAGCTATGTTTTTATAAATTGTTTTTTTTCTTTTCTTCCAGGGATCACCACTGTCCTGACCATGACAACCATTAACACCCATTTAAGAGAGACTCTGCCCAAGATCCCTTACGTCAAAGCTATAGACATGTACCTGATGGGCTGCTTTGTGTTTGTCTTCCTGGCTCTGCTGGAATATGCCTTCGTCAACTACATCTTCTTTGGAAGAGGTCCTCAGATGCAGAAGAAACTCGCTGAGAAAGCACAGAAGGCCAATAATGACCGGGAAAAATTTGATAGACCCAAGGTAAGAATAATTTCTAAACACCAAAAAATCGAGTTACACTCATTTCACAGGTTCAGACAATGCAAAGTCAACCTTTACTGTTCCTATAAGCAGAAGAACCATCAGCAGTACAGTTTGTATGTAGATAAGACTGTTAACATGTACTATACATATGGTAGTTTAACATGACCATATTATTAAGTTGATGCCATGATAATTCATTTGAATAAAAATAACATTAAATAGTATATGGTTTGGAAGTACACATCTCCAAATATTAAATTGTAATCATTCAGTCAAATGGAAATTGAATTTCTGAAAATCTGTGTGCACATGAATTGAAGGGGTGCTCCAGAAATTTAGTTTGTCACTCATAAGAGACAGATTTAAAACAGAAAATGATCAAACTGATATCCTGAGCTTTAGTGCCTCTTTCATATCACAGGCTCTCTGTTATAAATGTGTAATCTCAGAGTCCAAGCCAAAATAACCTTGAGTAGTGCCCTCGATGACTAATAAACTAACCTTTATTTGTAAAGCTTGTGGAGCGGCCCTTAAAATGTATATTTTTATTTCCTTGTTTAAAAATGCATCATTGCAAATTGAATTACAGTTAAAACAATAGCAACAGTGGCAGATAATTTATAGTATCCTCAGGTGTAGCATATTTAAATGAGATCAGACTCTTTGAAAACTTTGTGCCTTCTTAGGAAAAGTTCCACATTCATAAGTCAAATAATTAACCCAGAACAAAGCAGATAGCTGCTTTAAGATGTAAAAACCATTCAAAACATCCCTTATTTTGGATACAGTGATATACGAAATTATGTCCCTTTGGTTTTCATTTTCTATAATTTTGATTTCAATATTAAGTAAATTATTATTCATTCATTAATTTGTATTCCCTATTTTCCATTGTTGTTATTTAGAAGCAGGCCTAGCCAAGCACTTTTGTTCTGTTTGTGTACTCTTAAATCGTTTTAATTAAGACAGAAAAAAAAAGTTAACCTAATCAGTCCTAGTTATGTTTGGTAGCTTAGGACACAAATCCTGTTCAGTGAGTTTAGAGTGTTTAGAACACACTGACTTTTTCCAAGGAGACGAACACAGTGACTACAGACAGCCGATACCATAAATATTATGAACACAGGAGAGATGCAGCAGGATTTTCCACTGGTCACAACAGAGACGCTTCACCACTCCTCGAGCGGTTCCTGAACCAGCTGCCGGCAGTATAGTGAGCCAAGCTGCAATCTGGATCTGTTGACAAAGGAAATAATAATAGACATGAGTGTAGATATAGTTTACACCATGTGTATACACATTTATAGATGCATCCAAGAAAAGGTCGGCGAAATGCATTCGACACACACTCCCAAATCATCCAGAAGCTCTTCTGCATCTGATGGATGACAGAAGAGTGTCTTACCCGAAATCGAAGTCAGCCAGTGTCTGGGTGACATTATTTCACACACTTTGGCAGAGGTGACTGGTGTTCCAGAGAGCATAAGGATAGAAAAGGTGACAAAAACATCATGGTGGAAGAGAATGGGTAAATTCAGAGCTCTGCAGAAGTTGTGAAAGCAGCAGAGGCAGTCGAGAGGAGAAAACCGCCAGTCTCCTGGTCTTTCACATGTAGAACATTAGTACAACAAAGCTAAAATAACTTGCATGTCCAGCTCGCTAAAAATGGAAGCTGCTGAACCTAAAACACCAAAGGAAAAATCAGTAGAGCAGGACAATGAGCTGGCTGAAATTGGGGAGACATGGCAGAAGAGGATGGACTAGAAGACGTTTCTTCTGTGTGAAGCTCGATAAAACTGCAGAAGCAGTCAAAACATCCTGAACGAACAGACATTTTGAGAAAAAGAACATAACCTGCTTTTATCCAGCACCTCCCAGGACACAGAAGAATCAGCATCTGAGATTGTGAAATAAATGAGAGGCCATATCCAGCTACACATCCTGCTGGAAAAGGGTGGGAAGTAAAATAAAAGCCTTTTTTGACCACAGAGTAGTCAACAGAAGCACTGGGATCAGTGCAGGAGCTAACTCACATGGTGGATCGGGTGTTGAAGATCTTGATCCCACCAGAGGAAGATCAGAAGAAACAGCACAGATGAGGGCCTCTACAAAAGAATTGCCAGGGACATTTACAGCGACCGGCACATAATTGAGGTTGCTCTGGGTGATAGGGTATTCCATTATCTAACAATTCCATACAGGCTTTAGCTGCAGCTTCACATCAAATTGAAAACTTTTATAAAGCTGTAAAGATGTGGAGCTGGTTCAACCAGCAGGCACAGTGGCATGAGAGAGAGAGGGACAGGAGTGTTTCAGTGAGCAAGATTAAATGAGTAGTGGTAAGACTGCCAGCACTCACAGAGGGACCCTAAAAAGTAAAGTGACACTGCGACACTGGTGAAATCAGCACCAGCTTAACACTAAAACTAGAGACATTTCCTGTATTTTGAGTGGATTCTATTTAGTTTTGTTATATATATAATTAATACTAGTATACTAATTTTTATTTTCATTTCAATTAAAATGTTTAAAAAAATGTTTTTCTTAATGAGTGATGTATAGGTTGGGAACCAGCCGGCTGCCAACTATAAGCCTTCTTTTTTTAAATATAAGACAGAATAATAGGATCATCCTGTAACATATTTGTACAATCATGAAAAATATTTCACTTAAGTAATAACATTAAGACCCACTCATGTTTCACCATGCTACTATACTACATACAACACTTACATACAAAACTTAGTTCAATAAAAATAAAATATTCAACCACGATTCAGTAATAATGATAAAAGTACTTCTTAACCCAAATTTATACCATGAAATGTGAATACGTTGGTAACAGCTCTCTCCTTCCACGGAGGCTTTCATGCTGAACCACCTTGTTTCTACAGTAGCCCAGAAACACTGCCTGTAGATTGGGCCCTTTGCGTATTTCGTAGCCACTGTAGTCTCCTTTGTGCTTCGAATGGGAAGGTGAAGTGAGGGAGTTTCAATCTGCAACTATACTGCTACATGTCATTAAATACTACACACTTATTTTTTAAAGCAACTTTGTGTAAGATTTGTCATTTCTGCAATTTTATAATTTTAGTAATGATGCATTTTTTAAACACAGTTTTTATTTCTCATCTATATCATGTGCACATTGGGAGAAATTCAGTGCTGGACACTAAACATCCATGCTTCAGCGAACACCTGACCAGAGCTCAGACAAAAGGGGTTTCTGTTTGTGTTTCTCCCGGCTAGTCCGTACTGGAAGGAGGCAATTGCAAGTCTTCGTCTATTAAACAGTCCAACCAGGTACAAGGGCGCGGTCACTCACAAAGGGTGAGTGTCTGTCACTGCCTGTTGTGTCACATCTGTGAAACCTCCACTGAAACTTTGCTGCTGCAGGGCAAAGTTTGACCTCCTCATTTAACAAATTAACACGCTTTATGGCCACAGCATCTTAACCAGCCATTTCAGCCATTATCACCATCACATATAAGTATGTTCCTCTTCCTCTGTGATTATTTTATTGTCTTTATGTGTGTGTGTGTGTGTGTGTGACCCTAATGATATATCCTGTACAGTAAATTCAAACAAACCACTCTATAATCTAAAAAAAATTGAAATTCATAACAAAATACCAAATGTTGTTAAATTCCTCTGTCTTCCACATGAACGCCTGTCTTGTCTGTTAGAGCCTGATAAATAAAGTCGAGGATTTAGCAATAAATCAAGATGCACACATTAGTATCCCCGTTTGAAGGTCACAAGACCAAAACATACGCAGAAAACAACCTCTTTGCTTTGTACAACACCAACATAAAAATTACATTTCACCATTCATCTTATGGTCTTATCTGTAATACATGTTAAGGGAATAAATATGCTGTTTATCTCCATTATTAAGAATACAACCAACGTAGGAACAAAATGGCTGTTTAAGAAACTTTGAGAAAGTTAGTCAGGTGTCTTATGTGGAAATATTTTAATGAGAGAAATGAAGGTCGAATTTCTTTGGCAGTTGTATAAATTATAACAAAAACTCCATCTTTAAGTAAATATGATATATATTATATTACCCTAGCATGCTACCATTCAATTACACAGTGATGCTTCCATACGGATGATAAAGGAGAGTATTTCAGTGTAATACACAGCTCGAACACTATTTACAATCACTTTAGGTTTAGGATGCTATCTCTATGTTAAAGTAGTCTCCTCTTGGAATCTGCTGTAATAAAATACTGTTTATATGATATACATGAGGTCTGAGGTGGATCTCCAAATGTTCATATGTTTACTGTTACATCGTGGAATAAGTCTAGTTTGTGTCATTAGTCTGCACTGAAGTATAAAGAGTGAGAAAGATAAATATTCACCTTGTCACTTCCTCTCATGTCTTGTAACCACATTGTTATATTACTGTGTACATATTGTGCCTCTATTTTTGCCACTTGGGTCTGAATGATTTATATTTTTTTGTGTGGGAAGCAATAGCTGTCATGACATGAGTATTAGAGCCATCCAGTCCAACCTTGAGCTGATTTGTGAGAAGTGATTTAACTTTGGGACAGGAAACCTGGTTTTGAAGGCCGCTCTCTGTTTCCCAGGCTGTAATCTGTCAGCCTGCTAGAAGACGCCGGCCCCGGGGCCTGACGCATGCTGCACATGTGTCATCAGTCACTCAGCCTCAGCTCACAGCCCATTTTTAACAGCGCTCCTGTCTGTTGTGCCTAGGTCGACTCCCAGGGGAACATTTTGCTGACAACCTTGGAGATCCACAACGAGGTGGGAGGGAACGAGATCACAACCACCGTGAGCGAGACCCACAACTCCTCCTCCATGGTGTTCGACAACTCGGGGGTCCAGTACAGGAAGCCGAGCACGGCGCGAGAGCCGGGCCGCCTCAGCATGGACAGGAACGCACATTTTAAGAAAACCCGTCTGCGGAGACGATCCTCGCAGCTCAAAATCAAAATCCCAGACCTCACCGATGTGAACGCCATCGACAGATGGTCACGGATAATATTCCCCTTCAGCTTCTCCCTCTTCAACTTGATCTACTGGCTTTACTACGTCAATTAATGCTTTTTATGATGTTTTTTAAGCTCATTTCTGTTTTTGTTTTTGAACGAGTGAACACTTCTCTGTGTAAGGAACATAATATGGTAAAACCCTTATGAACTTTTTTTTATCATGGCGAGTGAAGACTTTCATGAGAGAACTGTCACAGGCAGTGTGCAAGGAAACTACAGAACATGTATTTTACAAAGACTGTACTCATGTACTGTAAATTACTCTCTGCTCATCTGTGAGGAGACACAGAATCTCATTATGGGTAGAGGACACTGCTCTGGGTCAGTTATTATAACTGTACCTATAGTTTTGAATAAAATGTGGTCACAACGTATCGCTAATGACAAGACAGCTGACAGAGATTCATAGTATTATTACATCTCTAGTTAATTAGCTCTTTAGGGAAATGAAAGCAGACTTAAAGGAATAGTTTAGTCTTTTGAGAAATACTCTTATTTGCCTTCTTGTCGAGAGTAAGACGAGAACATTGATACCACTCTCACATTTGCTGCAGCCAGTTAGCTTAGCTTAGCATAAAGACTAGAAGCAGGCAGAAACAGCTAAGCGTATTTCCTAGAATCTCAAACTATTCCTTTAATTTGCCTTGAAGCTGATGCCACCAACTGTTCACTGGTTGTTTTGAAGTGGACGCTGGAACTGCTGTGACCTTGCTCCTATGACTAACAGGGGATTTAACACTGTGTAAGGATGTCAGAAAGTAACATTGATTTCAAAGCCCGGTTTTTATTAACAGGAGGGAGGCTGATGGAATACCAGCATTTTATAAAACTCTCATTCTGTCATACACTGCCATTATTTAAAGGAATATTTTGACATTTTGGGAAGTAAGTTATTTGCTTTCTTTAGATTTAGATGAGAAGATCAATAACACTCAGTCAGTTAGCTTAGCCTAGCATAAAAGACTGGAAACGGGGGGTAACCAGCCTGCCTCTCTCCAAAGGTGGAAAATGATCTCTTTACCAGCCCCTCTAAGCTCAATAATTAACTTGTTTAAACCCATTTTTTTAATCCTTGCATGAACAGACATGTAAATTACGTGCCGTAACTATTTCTCGGGACTCCACAATTTGTCTTTTTTACATTTTTGTGTGTGTACAGAGTAAACTTTATGTGTTATTAATGAGCTTTAGAGGTGCTGGATGGGGAATTTTGTGAACTTTGGACAAAGCCATGCTAGCTGTTTCCCTGTTTCTAGTCTTTATGCTAAGCTAGGCTAAATGACTGCTGATGAGCTTCATATTTAGCATCCAGACATGAGAGTGATATCAATCTTCATCTCATTCTCAGTAAGAAAGTGAGTAAGTGTTCTCAAAATATTGAACTATTTGTAAATTACACATTTGCTATTTCTTTACAGTATTCAAAAAGCATGCTATGTAGCCAACAACAATTTGGACCATTTGTGTTACATAACAGTGTAAAAAAAAGACTTTTACAGTGAAGAAACATGTACAATATCTGATCAGTTCACACTATTTCACTCTTAGAATATTTTATTGATTTTGTGAAACACGTATTTAATACAACATAATTCACATGGCCTTTGTTCTTTCAGACTGCATGCTGTGTTAAGGACTGAGTGCAGACATACCATGTCAACCTTCACATTCAGATTTGTTGCTTCTTCATGAAATTTAATGTACATACTGTAACTCTGATCATTTTCTTTCAGTTCACATTAATTACATGGCTTTGTTGTCAACAGTGTTTTGCGCAGTGATTTCTGGTCTTGCTGTTCTGTTTTGTTAGTCTTTACACAACATTATAATTTCCTATTTATGTTGTAAATATAAAACACAATGTCGCAGCTTGTGATCATTTCCATTCTTTCCTAAAGAAGTAAATGGATCATTTGTAATACTCAAAGTGAAGAAGGAGTTGGGGGGTATAGCTCCAAAATGGCAACTGTTGGCATACACAGCTCGCAACGCACCATCTGCACCGCTCAATTGAGCGGCTTGCAGCGCGTAGGAGTGACACCACCTGTCAGAAGTCCACTCAACAACACTCGTGTGCAACCGCCTGAGCCCAACATACCGTAACAAATCACACAAAAACACATCACTAATGAAGGCCAGGCTTGATATTTTTACTGCACTTGAATTTCCTGCATGATCCTCTAAAATTGTTCTTCAGTATGTTTCAGTCAGGACTCATTCCTTCAACCTATTTAGCAATTATAAGCTATGGATAAACACTTACTGTGTTTATAAGAAACAAGCCACACAAATGTAATGCTAATTGGAATACATTAAACCTTTTAAGGTTTTCTCAGAAATCTACTACTACATTTAACAATGTAAATATAAAAATAACATCTGATGAAGATAGCCTATATCTTATCATCAATACCTTCCCCAGGGGAGTGGCTTACAAACCACTACTGGGTTTCACAAGCATCTACAGCTATGCTAGCAGCTCTGTGAGGCTGTACTTAAAGGCACTACAGACAATGGTGCTTTGGGCTAAATGCTGATGTTGAGCAGGTAAAATGTTTACCATGATCATGTTCACCATCTTGATTAGTTTGTTAGCATTCTAACATTTGTAAAGTAACACTAAACACAAACTGATGGGAATGTCGAGCTTTGCAGATAGATAGAAAGAAGTTATTTTAAATTCATCCTCTGGGGACCATGAATGTTGTCCCTGTCCAACTCAGTCTCGTAGACATTGAGATTTAGTTGGAAAGGAGAAAATTATGGCTGGTATACCTGTGTAAGATTTTTTGGCAATCCATCCAATAGTTCTTGAGACACTTTTCATTTCAGTCCATTGTGTAACATTAGGAGGATCTATTGGCAAACATGGAATATAATATCCATAGGTATGTTTTTATTAGTTTATGATCGCTTGAATATATGAATTGTTGTTTTTGTTACCTTAGAATAAGCCGTTTATATCTACAGATGCCACAAGCTGCCTTCGATAGAATCTGTTATGTTGAACCACCATGTTTCTACAGTAACCCAGAAGGGACAACCCAAACAGTTTTTTGGGCGTTGCAGGGCACCTGTAGGTTCTCCTTTGAAGGGGAGCATGAAACGAAGTCAATCTGTGGTCCTGTAGTTTTTCCCTAAGGAGACACAACCTTGGTGCTATGGGAAGTTTACATTCTGACCATCCAACCAAGAACATTCTTCCATGAGGGAAAACCCATGGGGCATTCCGATAATGCATGTATGTATGTACCAGGTTCTGTTTTACATTTCCAACACAACTGTCTTTAATTAGACCCACTCTATTTAGTTTTCATGGGGTGTATTCTGCATTGTTGGAAAGAATCCTCTCTCATATTCCTTCATCAGTTATACAGCCCAGGTCCTTTTCCCCATATCCTCTGGAGGTTTTTACAATCATTGTTATTTACCCAAGGACATAACTCTTACCACTTTGATGCTTTATCAAACATTGTTGGCAGTTGTAGCGCTCTACTGCGTTTTTTTCATGTTGGAAGTAAACTTTCCCTCTAATAAAATGTCTGAATTGAAAATATTCCCAAAGATCGGCCTGTCCCCCCAGATTGAACTCGCTCATTTTGTTATATGAATCTCTGCCCTCTTTGAATAGGTCATTCAGTATTCTGATACCTCATCTTAACCACTAAGCCCAATAAATTGTCTACTTATCTACTACTTTTGGCATTGTACCATATGGATCCATATTTCTGATTATAATGAGAGATCTTATATTTTTTATGTGCTTCTTGCCAGACTGTCCTTGAATGTGTTGGAATGGGATTCGTCCTATTCTCTTTCTCCCCTTTTAATATTTGGGCTAAAGCCTCAGTAGGAGAAGTAAGCTCCTGTTCAATCAAAATCCAGTCTAATTCAGAATTTGTTCCAATCCAGTGCCTGGAAAGTTTAGCCATTTAGATAGAAATACTGTAATATTCTATGTTTGGTAGAGATTGCCATCCTTCCTTCGTTGGCTGGCAGAGCCTGTCCATATGAATCCTAGGTTTTTTTACATCCCAAAGATTTTGATCACATTATTATATCTTAGTAGTAATTGTTTTGGAATACACATTAATATCACTCCAGTTATATAATTTATCCGTGGGACTATAACCATCTTTACTTTGTTCACCTCCCCCAATAACATTAAGTGCAACTTACTCCAATTCTCCAAAGTTTCAGTATTGGTGGTAATAATTTCTCCTATGTGTCGATTCAATTCTATCCCCAAATATGTCATACCTTTTAAACCATTTGAAGTTAACTGTAGACAGTAGATTGGAACAGGTTTGAGACACCAGCATAGCTTCAGATTTATGCCAATTCATTCTGTACCCGAATACTTTGGAATGTGCTTCAATAACCTCTAGCAACACTGATGTAATAGTCTTCTCATGTTATCGGTTAAGGATCTGTTTTCTATAAACCCCACCTGATATTTTTGAATAATTGGCAGTAAAACTTTATCTAGCCTCAATGCTAATACTTTGAACAGTAGTTTACAATCAACATTTATTAAGCTTATTTATCTGTGGTTAGTTTCTGTATCGGTCTGTAGTTAGCTGGATGTGTTAGGTCATTTTTTGGTATGAGTGATATTATAGCTTTACTGAAACTGTCTGGAAGTGAACCACTTTGCAATGCTTCTTTAAAAAAATCCTTCAATACTGAATATATGTATATCTACATATTTCTGATGCAGGGAAGCCATCTATGCCAGGTGATTTGCCAGGTTTCATGCACATAATAGCATTTCTTAATTAAGCTTCTGTTACAGGAGCGTCCAGATTATCTTTTTCCTTTTAAGAAAGTGTTGATAGTTCATGTTGTGGAAGAAAGTACTCCGTTCTTCAGAGCTAGATGTATACAGGTCTTCCATTTTAGAGTTGTTGAGATATTTCAGTCTGGACCAAAGTGGTGCACCAACCCACCGATTTACCAACTTTGCAATCATGGCTAAAATCCACTTGAACTCGTTACCACCTTCCATATATCAAAGTCAAAGTCAAAAAGTCAAAGTCAGCTTTATTGTCAAAATATATCATGTGTATTTACTGTAACAGCATAATAAAGTCAAAGCGTAAATGATATCTTCCACAGCAATGAATACCATGAGCCAGCCAGAGGAGGCAATTTTCTTGTGGAACCTCGTCAGCAGAAACAACCCTAACAGAGATATGATCCCACTTCTATAGTGTGTGTATCAACACCAGTGACAGCAGGGCACAGCAACTCTCAAATGAGCAACGCTTGTGTAATTTTCATAAGCCACGAGACAACCTTAACCATGCCCTTACTCATTCATTAGTCATCTGCATTCTTCATTTACTCTTTCCATCCTTTCTCTGCTGTATTATATTTCAACAAACGTTAGTCATTCTAATCTCATTTCGGTCACTACGCCTGTTTGTTCCTGATCCCTCCGCTTGTGTTAATGTTGTGATTGGTGTAGTGTGGGATGAATAGATGAGCGGTGGCATGGTATGCTGGAGCTGCAATAATTCAATTTGCAGATTACAGCTGATTTATAGCCACGCACTTCAGATAAATGAAAAGCAGGTGCGTGTTTCGCTGTGAGCTGTATATTATGATGATGTGACACACGAGCAGCAGATTTTTTGGACTGAAATTTTTCTCTCTCTCTTACATTACCATGAATTCTGGACTCTGCAACCTCCGGTCCTCTGCACTCTGATTAAATGACTTTGTTCTGGTGACAGATGAGATTAATCAACCCACTGGAACAGTTCTTGGATGTAATGACTAATAACGATTGAATCAAACAGGGATACATAGTAAGTACCATACATGTCTCGTCTCACACAATATAAGACACCAACTCTGTTACATTCGTTTTTTTCCAGTAACACCAGATAGCATCTGGATGTGAGTCACTACTGGCAATGATGTAGCAGGCCCACACAAAATGGATGTAAAATGACCCAAATATCACAAAACAAATGTGGGCCACCTTTGGCAAAGATGTGGCACAGTCGATAAAGGCTGATCTGGGTTCATTAACTACATCATGATGCCAATTTAGTCAAATCTGTCAAGCAAACAACGTTTAAAATGCTTGTTTTCTGAACGGAGTTTGGATCGATTAAGGCTATGCTAACTTAGTTCATAGTAACAGACACATATTTTCAGCTCTTAAAAGGTAGTTCGGGCACCTCCGTGGCTCGCAGCAGACATGTTGTGAAGAGCGGGTGAAGATTAAGAGATTAAGATCCAAGGTGTGTTTTTATTCCAGATCCTGTTCAGTGAATATTTAATTGGTACTTAATTTGGAATTTATAATGTACACATCTTACACATCAGAAAGCCCTAAGGAGTGCCACAAACTGCAACACCTTTTGAAAAATAAAAGTTAAAATTGTAATAGAAATGAATGTTAGCTTACGGTATTTAATAATTAGCATGTTGGCATGCTAAGAAGCTAAACTAAGAAATTAAACATGGTAAACATGCCTGCTAAATAATCAACAGCACGTTAGCATTGTCACTGTGAGCTGTTAGCCTATTATTGTTAGCATTTAGCTCAGCACCAGCTTCACAAAGGAGCTACAGTAGCTTTAGACTTCTTGTTTCTTGGTATCAGGCAGGGTGCGAACTATCGGGGAGCCAGGGGGAACTTGTGTCCTCTTAATAACACCGGAGCTTCCCTTAAAACATGATTTGAGAGTTTTCGGGAGTCTTTAAAATATTGTCAGTGTGTTATTTTTGCCATGTATTTCTATTTTTCTTGTAGGCTTGTATGAACAGGAGAAATTACAACAACTATTTTTTGTGTACAAGTGAGTATTGTTT